TTTTGTTTGAAACATAATTTTCTTATTTTTCTCGTAGTTGGATTAGTTTTGTTCTTTTAAGGTTTATTAATATTTATAACTTCTTTTTTTTATGTTAATAATGACGCATTTTACGTAGAACTTTAGAACTTTTAATTCCTTATTTGCATATCATAAAATTTCTCATTTAGTCAAAGTAATTATTTGCCTTAATTCACATTGTTTGTGACATTCACAAATATATTTTGTCAGGAAAAGTAGCCCTTTAGTAAAACGAAATTGGGCTAAATTGTACACTATTATTTGGTTTCACACTTCCTATCAGAATGATTCTGATCCAATGATTTTTTTCCAATGCTAGGGCTGACAAAGTAGAGAAGAAAATAGAAGAGATGAGACAAGAGGTGCAAGGGATGAGGCAAGACATGCAGCAGCAAATTCAAGAGAAAGAGGAAGGCAATACTTGCGTTTAATGCAAATATTGGGCAGCCTCCCCCTCCATTACAAAATTAATCTAGTTAGAGCTTTAGAACAATTTTTTTTAAAATTAAGACAACTATTTTAGGACTTTGAATACTTTCTTGAAGATTCTTGTTTTTCAATAGTGAACTTATTGTTTTTGGGATGATGCATCTATATTTCTTATGCCCATCTCTTAATTTTTTTGAAAACTCTCTTGCTTGACATATATTGGATATGGTTTGTGGAAAGGCTGCTTTATGGTAAGTTAGCTCTCTTATATTCAATTTAATTTTTATAATTATTTGTTTTATAAATTATTTATTTATTTTTTACTTGGGATACACTTTATTTTGCAGGTAGTTCATCTTGCTAAGATCGTTGCTGCTTTGTTGGAGTGTTCTATGGAGGTAAAGATTGCCTACCTTGTTTTTGTTAGTACTAGGGGTTCAGTTGCAACATAATCTATGGCATTTTCTTGAACATGGCATTTTGGTAAGGTGAAGTAATGTTATGAATGTGCAGAAGCCATAATTACTTCATTAATGATGGATTTTTTTATTTTATTTTATTTATTGTTATTGTTAGTTCATGTTTAATGTTTTCTTTAATGATGTACTGATATGTATACACAATATTCTAATGGCCTTTATCTTTTCTAATTGTAGAGCGATTGATTGGGATGACATGAAGAAAATGAAGTACTCAAGGAAACAACAAACTAAAGTGATGAGATTCAAGATGAAGGACTTTGTGCTGCTGCCATATATAGAGAGTTGGGAGGTTTTTTTTTATTTTTTATTTTTTTTATGTTTTAGTTTGGTCTTTTGTATTAGACTATAGGTAATTTAGTTTATATTTTGTCTTAGAATTGAACTAGTGTAGAAATTTAATCAAATTTATGTCAAGTTTGTATTTGAACGCAGAATTATTATGTATTTGATAATAAAATTTATTATTATGTTTAAATTTGTGTTGCAATATGGAGTTTCAAAAGTGTACAGTTGAATTTGTGTTGCTATTTATAATTTTTTAATATTAGCAGCAACGATAAGTAGTTCATAAAGCATGCAAAAATTGGTTTTTTGCAACGAAAGTCATTTGTCACTAGGTAAGTTAGTGACGAAAACTTTCGTTGCTAATGTCCAATAAATTGTGACAAACATTTTAGTCGCTAAAACGCAAACAGATGTGACGAAATTTTTTGTCACTTCTACCTTAGCTAGTAATGACGAACTTGTCATTCGTCACTATAGATCAACTGAGACACTTATATAGCAACGACATAGCGACGAATGATTTTTCGTCACTAAACACTTTTAGCAATGAAAATTTAGCTTTCTGCTACGAAAAAAAATGTCGCTAAAGGTTACTTTTGTTGTAGTGAGAGAGAGAGAGAGAGAGAGAGAGAGAGAGAGAGAAGGGGGGAGAGGGGGGGGGGGGGGGGGGGGGTGTTGGGAAGGGGGGGAAGTGAGGCTTAGATTTGAAGTTCTCACCTTTTGGTAAAATACAGAATAATTATTTTGTGACTTGTATGTTACCTTTTAATGACTTTGGTACTTCTAATTTAAAAGTCATATTAGGTTCGAAGCACCTTTAAGGCATTTATGAGTCAACGAGTGTGCCGACAGATTTTGGTGTATTAATATATTCAAGTATCTAACAATGCAACAACATATAGTCAACAAAAATGGAGAATCCCCATATTATGATAAGCTGATTCTTGCAAGATGCTATTCAATATTGTGTGATCGTACGATTAGTTGCATATTCAGAACTATTCTGTTTGATCGTACCCTATACAGATCAGTTGCATATTTAGAACTATTCTCTCAAATTTTGGAGCAAAAGCAAAGGAAACCAGTTGCAAAGAGCAAGCAAGGTCCAGAATAGTGACACCCATAAAGCACAAATACTTGTATAAGCGCATCACATCTCGTACCAGATTTTTATCGGACACTGATATCCCCACATATACATGTCTCAAACTTCCTAAATGTATCCACAATTAGAAAATAATATATTTTATTTCAAACACTTACTTAATGCTTCTTATTATATTTTGGAACATATGTCTTAACACATTTTAAATGTTAAAGTGCAATATTTCTGATATAGTATTTAGAGTATAATTGTTAAGTAAAAGCATAACAAGGGTTTCAAATACTTAAAGACTTTCCTAGAAGAGAAGTATTGGGATGTAATGAGAATATATCATATCAAATCATCCTAAGGTCCATGTCCAGGAAAAATAACTCATTTCTCCTAAAATAATTGCAGATTTATTAAGTACTCGTTTGTCCTAAAAAAATTCTGCAAGCAAATGTCAGTCATAATATCTGTAACTATATAACAAAACAAACAAACAATTATTAGGGCAAATTGTACAAAAACCCACTGAACTATTAATCTTTTGCATCAAACCCCCCTTAACTACTTTCTGAGCCCAAAACAACTACTCCATCTTTCAAATTGAGCAAAATGACCCCATGCTGTCAAATGACCACTAAGTCTCCGTTAATTTACGCATCATAATTAGTAAAGAGCCTCTCGTCATCAACTTAAAAAAAAAAAAAAATACAAATAAAATGCAGAATACCAATAAACATAGAATGCATTTAGCCGACCCCAAGTAGTTGGGAAAAAGACTTGGTGGTGGTGGTTGCTGCACCAATAAGGACCCCATAATAAACAAATTACATTCAATATGACACTGTATTGTTTGGAGCTATTATAGGTATTTTACAAATTATTTATTTAATTTTTTCAAGTTCATTACCAGGGATACTTAAATAATTTCATGTGGTAAATTAATAGAGACTAAACGACCATCTAATGTAGGGGTTATTTAATTTTTTTTTTATTTATAAGTAATAATAAAGCGTTCAAAAGGGGAACGCGTCCCTAGAACAATAATGTAGGGGTTATTTAATTTTAATTTTAATTTTTATACATAATGTACATACATGTTTATATCATACAGTATCAAATTTGTTGTGCCATTGTGGCTACATTATCTTGTATCCACATCTCGTGTATGTGTCCGTGCTTCATAGTGGCACTCATATATTTATATATGGTTCTTTACTTTTGTTCTATTGATGAAAAACTTATAGTTCAAAAATTTCCATCGGGCAAGACCAACCACTGGGAGATGATGTGAGCATCCAATGTATGGATTATGATTTGATTGTCTTGGAGCAACAACTACCCAAATTAACTTATCAGAGAAAAAGTAATATGGAGTATAGCAAAGTTTCAGCTGCCATAGTCTTTACAAAATCTAGTGCAAGGTCGAGAAACGACCAACACATATAGCTTAAATTCATTTCTATGTCATGGCTTAAAACTGAAAAAGACATCCACTAAGCAAGAACACTCCTAAAAACTATCAAAACAGAAGCTGACTCATACCAGGTTGCAGCCTTGATTCAAGGAATTTAGTAAAATAAATGATAATCAATGAATCAATATGATTTAGTTTATTTAATTTCCACCGTGATATTTTTCCATTCATAGTTCAAAACAAACCTGACATTCCTTTAAGCAAATGCTAATTTAATCTCAGAAGCTTCAGCATACAAGTCAATCAATTCGTTGCTGAGAGAAACCTACAACAAGCACTCCCCTTCCTAACCCCCACGAAAATTGACCACCAAAAGGACATAGATAGAGAGATGTAGAATACTCTCAAATGGGGACCAAATTAGCAACATGCTACAAAATTAGGAAATATGAAACACATATATATCATGAAATGGGCTGCTGTCAATTAAAATTTCAGTGTTAAATGAAGGTATTAACTAATGCCACAAATCATAACAAATTCTATTTTTTTACCAAAGAAAAAAGAACTTCTGAACCCTTACTGTGATTATACTTAACCTCCCATGTCATGCATTTTGAATGTATACTAATATACTATAGAATAATGCAATATTTCCTACCAAACTTAAAACCGCCTTCAAGAATATGATTGACTTTTGTAAGTATCAACCATGTACCAATATTTTTTTTTTGAATATGTAGTATAGACTATATACCAATTATAATGGCAATGGAGAAATCAGTTGACATTGGTAGTGGCAGGTTATAGGAGGTGGGTATCTGTCACAGAGAACTACATCAGAGGGAAGGAGAGTCTTAATTTCAAAGTAAAGGGCAAGATCTCATAATTGTTAGATACCGCAGGGATGTCAACTAGTTTAACCTAAAATTATGCTCTCATATATGTGACACCACCTGGTCATCATGAGGTGTTAATCTCCTATAACTAACCCTTGACAACTTCTCCATTAAAGAACAAATTCAATGGGCAGTTGAAAATGCTTAATTTTTCTTTAGAATAAACAAAATAAACCCCTTAAATGCCTAACAAAAAACTACAAAATAAAACCCTTAAATGCCTAACAAAAAACTAAGTAGAACTTTATATCCAACATCTAGAAAGCAAACCTTAACAACAGAGTCTGCTCCATACTAAGATATATAGCATAAAGCATAATCAGACAAGTTACGATGTTACCCGGAAGGAGTTGGAAATTATGGAGAGTTTGTCATACCTTTCTAACACACTATCATCCAAGCTTTTCTCTCCCATGCTTTCTTCAGTTGACAAATTAGGCTGTATATTTTCCGGCTCATCAGCTGGGGTCGGATTATAGAGAAATGAGGACAGCAGTGGATCAGGAGCCATATTGGAGGAAGCAACCACAGAAGAAGACCCCTCAAGTAAAAATTGTAGATGTTCATCTTGCAACTCCTTCCTCAATAAAGATAGAATCGAATGAGATTCACCGTAGTTGAGTTTCTTTTTGTGCATAGCGTAACCTTCGGTTAAGGAATTCAGAAGATATCATCCACTCTTCTTTTATGATTATTTTTAATAAATAAATAGGTCAACTCATCCATCCCCGTAATGACTAAAATAAAGATTATAATGACAAATGCCGAATGAGGAAGAAAGGGCTCAAAGTGTAACAAACTTGAAAATTTTTAAAAAAACGAGGGGGAGCTAAAAATTGTGCAACAACAACAAAGAAAGAAAGCCTTTTCCCAAATAATTTAAAAATAAATAAATTGCAAGAAAACCAAACCTAAAAAACATTAAACATAGGAACACTTGAAATGACAAACAGGGATGTTCTACAAATAAATTAGTATCATTGCAGGAGGTAAGGGACCTTTGACTACAAAGATATTAACCTATTGCTTTCAATAAACTAGAAGATCCCAACCGAGTATGTGCTTGTGTAAAACAAGGTCAAAAAGATAAATTCAAAGCAAACTACAAAAATATTGATCAGAGATCTTTATGAAATTATCAGAATGTAGCTCCTTCATGACAATATATGTGTGTGTATCTTGTGTTGTTTATTGCATTAAATGACCTACTCAATTCAGAGTTGTGATCATTACAATCTTTAGAAAATACCCATTAAAAGATAAAACAAAAAGGGCTAGCCCAGTGCACGAGACTCCTACCATTGCAAGGTTTGGGGAGGGTTAGATGTACTCACCCACGTGTGGAGACATTATTTCTCGTTTCAAACATGCAACCTCCCGGTCACAATGAGCAATCTTACCGCTGTGCCAAGGCTCACCCTAATTAAAAGATAGAACAAGAAAAGAAAATACTAAAGCCAAAAAGTGCAACTATAAACCACTTGGTGGTGGATACTAATTTAGTTACTTGAATTAAAGTTTCACAAGCATTTTCCCACCAAAATTTTGTATATATGTAATGTCATCCGAAATCAAGAGAAAATGGAATGTGAATGAACGTCACCCAAACAATCAGTAGCCACCATTTTTACATAACCATGTGAATGCATAAACCACTTTATGCCAATAGAGCTGTGATTTAATAAACCAATGAACATTTAAGAATCATTTCCATTAGGGAAGTGATATCCGCGCTTCACTTTTGAGCTTGGTGGTACTTTTTCCATTTACTGCAAGAAAAAAGAAAAAAAAAATATATGGAGTCCATTTATTTAAAAGTGGAGTGTGGATATCGCCTCCCTTTCCATTTTCCTGAATATGTATACGGTTTCTCAAACAAATAAACTTTTGGAGCAAGTGGCATGTGAAAGGTCATCATTAGAACATCTAGTAAACGCCACAAAACTGAATCAAGAAAAATTGAACCATTGCTAACTCAAATAAAAATATATATATAAAGGATATCCTTAAGATATTTGCATGTTTGGTGATTATGTGACCAACTGCATTTGTCCCCACCTTTGCATCACAAACAGGACAGATCTGCAAATATATAACAAACTCTGGCATAAACAGGTATACTTGAGAAAGTAAATTAGAGAGAAAAAACACACACTATCTAAGAAAATCCCCTGTGCCCTTCTTTAACGTTATAGATTAAGCAGCAAATTCATATGCACTATAACTAAGATTTGAAAACAACCATGAAGTCTGATATTCTTACATGCAAATTGGACAAAACAATCAATAAATCTCCATGTTATAACAGGTTGCTAAAATTTATCCTCCAAATCAAAACCCTTGCTTTTTCCAAGCTCATTTTGACATTTTTTTTTATAAAAAAAATTAAATTAAATAATTAGTCTCCAAGTTAGGTTGGAAAGTGGATTAATCCATTCAATGTATCTCATCTCATGTCAGACATTAGAAAATTCAGATTTGAAACTCCTGAGCATTACCATATCAAACTATCCTAATTTATAGGCCATATCAATACCAAGTAATAAAAGCCTAACCAATTCAAGATTTATAATCTCACAAATCATATCTGGCACAGATTCACAGTGCACTGCTGCCCCCCTTACATTTTAGACTTTGATGTATTGCTAGCCATATATTACCAATATAGTAAATCTATGTCTGACTTTCCGTAGGATAACATACAACCCAAAGGAGTAAATTTAAAAGCATCCAATGAGCCACCCAGATAAGCAACACTGCAGCTAGTTACTATAAAACAGTGTCACTTTCTGGTTGAGAACATTGTAGACTTGTGAAAACACACACTGTCAATATTATGATGCATGGCAGTGCATGACTTAAACGCCACTAAGGGGCCTATGCTCTAACAGCGGAATATAAAGGTTCAAAATGCATTTACTAAAAATAAATTAAAATTAATAATAATAATTTCACGGGGTTTGACACAATTCTAGAGTTAGGGCGGAGCCTAACTCATGGCAAGCTGGGCATGTTTAACCTGAGGTGCATACAATAGTCCAAACTCTCAAACTCACTATAACGGTCGGGAACATTTCTTACACTTGAATCTAAGTATCTAACTCATGGTCATGGCAACCCTAAATTCTTATCGAAAAGGAGGGTTCCATCTAAATTTCATTAAAAATATATATATATTACTAAAAAAGGAGGATGCCATCTATTTTAAGAATTAATTTCCAAAATGCGAGAGAACAAGCAAGTTCCATCAACAGGGTAACTCCTCTATAAGGTGGGTGAGGCTAATTTGGGTTCAACAACAGAAATTAATTGAACTATTCAACTCTGACCTAGATGCCCAATCCACCTCAACCCAACTTTGGAATATGACACAGACTTAACCTAGCCTGGCCAATACCTTAAAACTGTATAGCTAAAACTAAACCAGGTTGGGTTCAGACATCTAAATTAAGCATCAGAGAGCTTCCATCAGGTAAACACGAAGATTTTATCATCCACAAAGATACATGGTCACATAAACATACATACACACAGATGCATAAAGATAATTATAGTTACAGATTCAGTAAAATTTAAGATGGGAGAAATACCCCAGATATGACATCCGTGTGATGATCATCATCCATATGGTAGCACAATCCGACGAGGTCGAAGTCGTCCAAACAAAAGGGGCATACCAATTCCGACTTTTCATCATCATCATCGTCGTCCTCAATATTTACAACATCAATCTCATAATCTGATTCGACAATCAACATGATTCAGCAGTATCAGAGCATATGTGTATAATCACTCTAATATACCAATCACTGACTGAAAAAAACGTAGTAAAAGAGGGAAAAAAAATCTCTTTCTGTCTGTGTATATAGAGAGACCTAGAATTCAAATTTTTACACTGATGACTCACCAGATGATCTTTCAGGGGTAGTGTGGTCTGTAGATATGGAGAAACCAGAGTTCCACATATCATCATCCATTGAAATTCAGAAAAAATTTCTGGAGAATTTTACGGGGTCTATCTATTCACACAACGTGTGAGTATGTGTGTGTATAATCCGAGGGTTTTAGCGATGCTCTTTCTCTCTCTAAAAATAATAAAGAAAGCAAAGCGCGCGCACAAGTAGAGAGAGAGAGCGCGGACCGGAAAACGCCAGTGGGAATGAGAAATATCAGAGGGCTTCGGGTCGTGACTACTGTTGCATGCTTATTGAACACGAATCCGATTTCATAAATAACCGTGGGCTCCCGCGTAATTTCATAAACTACCCTCGACGACCAGGACCCAACTCATTCCATTCTTGACTTTTGGACCCATTTTCACCTCCTGTTGGCTCATTGTTTTTAGTTCCAAATTTCCAATAGTAATACTACTTTTTTTTTTTTTTTTTTTTTCAATCCAAATTTCCCATACTTACAATCCCAATTTCTTGACATTATTATTGGGTCACACTGTTACGTAATGTTTTAAAAATGAATTAAGAACAGTTGACAATTGTACAACGAGTTGTCAGTCATAAAAAATTATATGATGACTTTTATTTATTAATACTTGGTGGATCAGTTAAATTTAGATTTTTAAATTGAAAAAAATGGTCCAACAATAGTGTATTAATATATTACAAAAAAATTTCAATATAAACTTTCATTAGATTAGTCCACCACATGTTAAATGGATAAGGATCACTTAATAATTTCTAGTCAGTTGGATAGACTCATACTCATAACTCATGGGTAAGGAATCATTTTTGTAGTTTTCAAACTTGTTTACCTATTTTCAAAGAATTTTATTTTATTTTATTTTATTTATTTTATTTTGTAGAGATATAGACAAATAGGCTCTTAGTCTTCCACAACTAGGGATGGCAACGGGGTAGTTTTAGGCGAGAACGTCATCCCCATCCCCATTTAGCAAGCTACTCCTATTCTTGTACAAAATCGTCTATTAAATGGGATTGAGCGGGTAGGGCGGGAGCAAGGCAGAGATGGATTTTGTAGAATACTTTCGTAATTATATTATGAATTTAATGAAAGTAAATAATGAAAAACAAAATTTTAACTACAATAATAATTCTTTTTCTCCAACTTCTCAATTGAACTTTAGACTTGATATTATTCTGTGAAATCAAAATAATACATATAAGTTCTCAAATAAGAATAATACAAATGATATTTAGTAATTGGAATAAAATAAAAGCTTAATATATACCTAATATTATTAAAGTATAAGAATAAAATTATAATTTAACCCTATAAACACGGCAAGGCGGGGTGATTTTTCCCCATCCCCGCCCTATCACTATAGAGGTTTTCAATCTTAACTTCCATTCCCGCCTCCAAAACCATTTAACAACCCATAACCGTTCTAAACTGGACGGTATATTTTCCTATCCCCATCCACAACATATATATTCTTTTTTATTCTAATTTCAAATCTCAGAACTTGTTATGGTGGTAAGTTTGAATGAGCATACCCTTATTAATAGCTAAGCTGCAAGCCAAAGACACAAAAAAAGGCAAGAACAGCAGCCTTAATTTAAACTTGAGATCAATTCAAACTCAAGACAACATCCTCCAGTCTCAGTCCAGCAGAATCAATGACAGAACACTTTTAGCAAACTTCAGCAGCATCCCCTCTTGGTGTCACTGTGAAGTCTTGAATTCCTTTTGGTCAAAATGGCATGAAGAAAGGCAGTTAACATGGTACATGACAATCTAATTGACAACCAATAAAATAACCCCACGAGGGTTGCTACCTTCACGCGTCCAAATGGCACCTAGTTTGACTGATTCAACTCAAAAAAAAAAAAAAAAAAGAAAAAAAGAAAAAAAAAAAGAAGAGAAATAAGGCAGGTTGATGGATATTTCATGTTCCTTGAAATAGGCTATAGAATGAATGATGCTACAACATTAATGCTAGGGTGGTCACGGATCAAATCGGATCGGATTAGGAATCAATTTTAATCCGATTCGCTTTCAAAAGATTAAAAAAAATTTTAATTTGTCACCAATTTGTGGGATAATGGATTGAATCTATATAATAATGGATCGGATCGGATCGAATTTGCGGATTAGGATTTTTCATAAATTGTCTAATATTGTTTATTTTTTAGCCATGGCCCAATAAATAAAATTTTAATTTAGTAACATTAATTCATATATTTAAATAATTATTAACTAATACATTCTTAGAGTCCTCTAAATGATCATTAACTAATTAAATTAACTAATACATACTTTAAATATATATATATATATATATATATATATATATATATATATATATATATATATATATTTCGTGAATCGAATCGGATCGAACTCATGGGTTGAATCGGATTTTAACAGTTCAATCCGTGATCCGATCTGTGAGTTGCTGATTCAATTTTTTTTTGAATCCGCTGGCCTTATTTGCCCACCCCTAATTAAGGCACACCTTGCCACCCAAAACAGGATTGACATATGCTTATCATGAACTGAAGAAGCTCACAAAAATGAAGGGTCAAAAGATGAAAAAATAAGGAAAAAGAAATCTAATAACATTGTTTATAGGGGAAAGTCTGAAAAACAGCCTGTGGTTTTAAATTTGTGCGAATTACACCCCTTTAGTTAGATTTATTTATATAAATCCATACTAGATATAAAAATGTGCAGTTAAGCCACCTCCGATGAGAATTGGAAGCCAGTTGGTCATGTGCATGGCACATGATCATTTAAAAGCCTTTATTCCGGAATTGCCATTTTAATATTCATTTACTACCCCTCACCATATATATATATATATTGCCCTTTTAATATTCATTTACTACCCCTCACCATATATATATATATATATATATATATATATATATATATATATTTAAACCCTAATCTTTCTCTCTCTATCTCAGTCTGCTGCTTACTCCTTCCTCTTTCCTTCCTTCTTCCTCCTTCCTCCTACAGAGTGGTGTGGCGTCCCATATATCACACTTTAAGTACCCCCTATTTTATCTGTCTTTCTTTATTTCTCTCTCCTTATTCTCACCCTCACACCTCACCCAAACTACACCATATCTTCTCTTTTCCATTCTCTGTTGTAGGTTCCAATGACATACTCTTCAAGTTCTGCAAATCGAAGCTCAAGTGGGCATAATGAGAAAATGATGTATTGTTATTGTGAAACACCCATAAAGACCTCTTATACTAATAGGAACCCTGGCAGAAGGTTTTATGGCTGCCCAAATTATCCATTACCAATATGTGATTTTCATATGTGGGAGGATGAAGAAGTTTCTAATTACTACAAGTATTTCATTTATGATCTTATATCAGAAGTTAGGCAACACAGAAAAGTTTGATCTGCAATTAAAAATCCTAGTTTTGGTGTTGACGACAAAGTTGATGACAGAGTTGGAGAGCTGCAGAACATAGTATTAGCAATGCAAAGGCAACTAGACCAAAAAATAGAGGAAATAAATTCAATGCGAAAAGAAATGGAGAGGAAAACAAACAAATGCAATTTTAACCTTTTGGCTGCTGTTGTGTATTTTCTTGTTGGTCTTTTGGCTGTTATCATTTTAAAAGTTATTGTATGAGCTTTGTTCCCTGTAAGATGGTTGTTAGATGCTTTGGGACTTTTGTTAAAGTTGTTGAATGAATGGAAAAAAAAAATGCAGCATGTGTTCTGTGAGTTTTCAAAACCTGTGTTCTGTCATTTTTCGGTTTAAAATCATGTGTGTGTTCCTTAGACAAAACCTGTTTTGCATTATGTCAGGGTTTTTTTTTTTTTTTTTTTGGGTGTTACTTGTTTAGACACAAATGAAACCTGAAAATCATTCATTCAGAGATCATTCAGAGAAGAATCAAACCATCCATTAACCAAACTTGTATAATGGAAACCAACTCACATGTATTTGTTGGGAAACGTGCAAGTTTTAAAAACTTTTTGAGGGATTTTGATTTATAGATTTTGATTCATCACATAGAGACAAGTTTTATGCAAAAATAAAAATATGATGTATCATTCAATTAATGGATTGAATACTTACATCAAAGGTCTGAATAAACCTTTAAATCTTTCCTCTAAAGTGAATGTTCTCACTTATTGTAGATCCCTTAGCAAGATGCATTCTTCTTGGATCTCCATCTTCTTGGTAATTATTTTGCCTTTAGGAATCACTCATAAGCCTCCATGAATGACCTTGGAAAACTAGGCTTGTGGGGGCCTCCATTAGATGAGAACATAAACCCTAATTTTCTAGAAAGAGAAAATAAATTCATTTTTCCTTCTTCTAAAAATCACCCCCAAAAATATACATAGACCATGTATATTTATAGGCAATAAAAAGATAAAGAAAAGGAAACAACAAATCCTTCTCAATCTCTAATTCACATGTCTCAAATCTAATATGATTCCAATATCAAGTTGGGCTATGAGTGAGAATCCATTGGGCCTATTATTTTATTGGCTACAATGAATTAATAATTGGCCCGGTCCATGAACCCAATTCAATTAATTCATAAATTAATTTCTATTCCACTAAAAGAAATTAATTGAACTCCAATTAAATAATAAATAACCTCTAAGTCAATATTGCACTTTGACCCCTCTATGCATAATTAGTTATCGGATAAATAAAGTCATCAATCCGACTACTTAATTAATATATTTATTTTGGTACCTTTGATTATTTTTGGCTCGATCACAATAAAACATTTGTTTGACAAAAATTATAATTTAAATATATAAATATATAATAAATCATTTTGTCTAAAAACACACGAAGGCCTTCGAATTTACTTTGTGATCAACCATAATCAATACAAAATAAATACAAGTAGCAATGATGCAAATATTGAAAATATAACCCTCTAACTATTAATTACATAACTACCCAAAGTGTCGGTTTAAGGATCCCGAAGAATCCGCCAAACAAATCAAAGTAATTATTAATTAATAAAAGAGTCTATACTTTTCTTATGCTTAAGAGTCAAATGCCATGACGGTGATAGGGAGCAATTGCATACGACGACTCTCGCAATATATCTCAACCAAACGCGGATCCAGTTCAAGTCTTAATTAATTATGATTCCATCCATAATTACCGACTATGAATAATTTATGATTACTATTTATATTCATATATTGATTGCCATTACATACATATATAAATATCTCTTGTAATCAAGAGGACACTATCAATTCTATAATGAATCGAAAC